ATATATATGATGTATTTATGTATATATGTTTCTATTTTTATAGTCCATGTTCAGTTGGCTATGTAAAAATTGGAATATAATTGTACTTCGTATATTTATAAAAAGGTGTGTTTCTATTTTCAAACTTGTGAACAACCGAAAGCGGAAATCCTGGTGATAACTGAAAATCTGAAAGCCTCACTTTCACTTTATGTATCAGTTTCACCTCAAATCTGCTGAAGTGATATTATTTCTTCGGCACGTGATTATAGCCAATGAAACTAGGATAAAAATTTACAATTCTACTGATACCAAAAATAGCACTCTTGACCAATCGTTGGGGCTACACTGTAATCTACTAATCTTTTGCATAAGTCGCCAATTGAAATAATGTTCGCCTAATGTTCACTATGGCACGCTTATGATTTGTCGTTTGTTTCGCAGTTATTCGAACTCTTTCGACAGTTTTTTAGGCAACCGGGCCCAATGACCAATCACCAATGTCTCAATCTTCACAGACATCCCCACAGACCCAGTGGAGACTGTGGAGTCCAGAGTCTCTAGACAGGCTTTTTTGGCAACCGGGCCCAATGACCAATCACCAATGTCTCAATCTTCACAGACATCCCCACAGACCCAGTGGAGACTGTGGAGTCCAGAGTCTCTAGACAGGCAGACACACCCGGGCCCAAGGCCCAGGCCGTATGCCCATTAGGCCATGTATTAGCATTTAGCCCACGCCCCACCAGGATTCACCAGCGCAACTTGTGCAATCACTGCAATCAGCAATTAGCAATTACCAATTTAGCGTAGTGTACTGTGCAACAACGGGAGTGAATAGTGAATACTGAAGAAGCTCCTACAATGCAATACATAGCCAAAATTGAAATACATATGAGTTCTCAAAAAAAAAATTATTCACCCCACCAGTCTACTAGAGACGCCAGCGGCCAGACGGGCCCAGAACTGTCCCAATTGTAAAATTGCAAAATCTAAATAATATTTTTAGATGACTATAGAAAGTCATTATTGTATTGACTATTGTCGGTATGGGTAGGTGCAAACAAAAATGAATCTAATCTAATCTTCATCAAATCAATAAGTATATGCTGCTGGTTATAAGAACGCACTGCCCCTTATAGCTTTCCTCATTTTCTACATATCGACACCTCCAAGAAGACTCCAGCTGTGTAGAAGTTACAGACGGTAGTTACAAGATGACCTCCGAAGCTCATTTCGCGAAGGTGTACTTCGAAATTCGCAATGCACATACCGAACCAGGAGAAGCTTGGTATGGTCGACAATTTACGGAAAATTGAACTATTTTGAACCATTATAATATAGTTCGCTCAGGATATTTTCCATCGATGTATTTATAAAGTACATTCCTAGAGTATATGAAGAATACCTCATAACAGAACAAGAGTGACAGTTTATATATATGCCTTAAAACCGCACAAGAGGACAGTATATATATATATATATATATGTGTGTGTGTGTGTGTGTGTGTGTGTGTGTG